ATTTGATCAAAAAATCGGAATTGAGCATCAAGACCTGCAGAGTGAACGCAGCCTTCGTCACAGGCTCTGCCAGCAGCCGCCAACCAAAGAGGGGACTGAGCCCCCCACCCCTGGAAGGGGCCTGACCGAGCAACGGCGCCGGGATTGATCCAGTACACGGCATGGTGTTAATAATCGGACAGTAGGTCCAATGGTGTCAAAGACTTATTACGTCGAGGCTTCAGATGGGACACTACTTCAGTGCACCAAGAAACAGGTTAAAGGTGTGTTCAGGGGTAATCAGCACAAACAGGATCGACATGTTGAGGATGATTTTTAGTTATCTTGCATCACAGGTTTGTTCTAAACTCCAACCTGAGCTTTTCTTAATCCAGATCTGCTGCTGCGACTCTCCCGGCCTCTGATGTGAATGCGACCACTTGTGTTTGGAGGCGGTTTGACCCTTGAGTCTGTGACGGACTAATTTCTACGTCTGTGACTGAACACTGACCAAACTTCAGCGCCGAAGGGTTCACAGATGCAGCGTGAACCCTAGAAATAAAAAGGTGTGAATGGTTGTCTGTCTCTGTATTAACCCAATGACAAACCTGTGACCTGTCCAGGTGTGCCCCGCCCATCGCCCTGTGACAGCTAGGATGTGCTGCAGTCCCCCCACAACACTGAATTGGATAAACTAAAGAAAATGGATGGCTATAATAGATTTATATCACTGCTGCTTGATGATCACAAATTCAATAATCTCCTGCAGCGCTGCTGTCATCGTTTTTGCAGCACTTTATTTTCTTTTACATTTTATCCTCTAATAACTCCTCTCAGTGGAGCAAAAGGAGCTCAGCTGAGAATGAAAGGACAAATCAAACACACCTTTCAGGCCCAGTTTAACAGTGAGAGTGTAGCTTAGTTCAGCCAGCTAACACAGTGAAAGCCTGGATATGCTGGCAGTGCAGCCCTCAGAGAGATTTACAGGTGCGCTCAGGTGAACTGACGGATGTACTCACAGTGACTCCCTCTGCCTCACAGTAAACCTGTAGAGGACTGAGGCCTTCTGGGAAATGGAGCTGTTGGAAGTTGATGGCGGGTGAGCGCCGCTCCCTCTCCTGAACAGCAAACAGAAATCACAGGTGAACGTCTGGAAGTTGGAGACGCTGTTACTGGCATCTGCAGCGTTTTCACCTCTAACTCCAGGATCCTGAACTCCAGCAGCTCGTTCTGGTCTTTGGCATCCTGGATGTCGATTCTCAGTCGCAGCTCTTCACCTTCCATCTGCCTGACCTGCAAACCATCCGTTGTTACATTAAGTCTATTCTCAGCCAAATACCAAATATACCAAATGCAAGTTGTTCTTTTTGATTAGGAAGAATTTGTGTGTATATTTACTGAGACGTCACGACTGACAAATGCCATTCACCTTCTCCACCAGTTCCTGATTCCTCCGATACAGCGCCTGCTTCTCCTCCACCCACTTCAGGTCCTGAGACACAGACAGAGCGAACTGTCAATGTTGTGATGGTGTGATCTGTTCTCAGACCTGTTCTCATCACACGTGTTCAGCTGGTTTTTTTCACTGGTTTTGCTGTTATATGTTCAGATATATATTTAAAACTATCTATTCAGGATTGCAAACTTCTCATCATGACTCTTAGTCTATTTATACCTTGTTTAGCTTTTATACTTGTATGTTTATTTTTT